TTTCCAACTTTTCGTTGTTTCAAACCATGTTGCAAATGGTATACTATTTTGAAAGGCCTCTCTGAAATGAATAAAAAAATTCTAGAGCGTGTTAATTCTATACTAGAAATGATTGATCACCTGTTTTTTAGAAGCCTTTGCTAACCCAGCTGCTCAGAATCAGTTACTTTCTCCTGGGTCCCACTGCCCATGACTTGCTTCATCTTCTCCTTTTTCCGAAGCCTGGCCTGCCTGGGTGTCTGTACTCTGGACAGTGGTAGCCAGCTGCTTTCTCTATCTTCTATCTTTCTTTTACTTTTTTGATGGTGGTGGTGGGGATTTGCTTTTTTAAAATTTTTAATTAAAATTTCTTTACATTGGGATATAGTTGGTTTACAGTGTTGTGTTAGTTTTAGGTATTCAGCAAAGTGAATCAGTTATACACATACATATACCCATTCTTTTTTAGATTTTTTTCCCATATAGGCCATTACAGAGTACTGAGTACAGTTCCCTGCACTATTCAGTGGGTCCCTGTTAGTCATCTGCCCTATATATGGTAATATGCATACGTCAGTCTCGATCTTCCAATTTATCTCTTTCCCCCTTACCCCCTGGCAACCATAAATTAGCCCTCCACATCTGTAACTCTGTTTCTGTTCTGCAGATAACTTCATCTGTACCCTTGTTTTAGATCCCATGTATAAGCGATGTCATACGATGTTTGTCTTTCTCTGTTTTTGCTTTTTAAATTTAGTTTTCACTTGTTACTGAAGTTAGATATTAACATAAATAATATAATATTTATATAATACTTGCTCTGAAAAAGAAGCTTCCCTTACCCTAAATACTCATCTCTCCTCATTTTGACTTCCTAGGACAACCTATTTCAACCCTTTATCTGATTTTTAGGGGTATTGACTTTCATAACTCTATCAAACATGTTTGTATTTCTACTTTAATTTTTTTCAGTTTTAAGCTTTATGTATTGACTTCTCATTTCGAACAGCAAGCACTTATACTTCTTATCTACTTTTCATATATATGTCTTCTCATAGTGCCTTCCCCCACCATGCTCCTAAGACAGTTGCATTGTATGTTTGATAAATCAACATTTAGTGTTTATACTATCTGGTCTATGTCTTATGAAACTGTGAGTATTTTCCTTGGGCTACACAATGTTTTGTGTTTCCCCACAATTAATCATTATTGTCCTTGTGTAATTTTCTATGCATTCATCATGATTTTGTCTCCTCATTATACCCTAGTTATGTAAATCTTCTTAGTATATTCAGACACATGAGTATTTTATGAGGTTCATCTCCCTGAGCAAGTCTCCCCTGGAGCCTTCTGATTTGCTGTGGTCTGGACTGGTTGCCCTCTGTGCTTGGTGTACATCTTGAGCTTTTCCTTCATCATAACCCTGGGAATTGGTGTCACTTCTCTTCTGAGTAGGATTTCCTGTCTCCTGTATCTCGTGCCTTTTTCCTCCTTGGTTCCCTCCCTTATCTGGCAGAGCAGAGTCTCTGTGACCTCCTGATAAAGGATGTGGTGGAGGTAAAGTTTTTTAGACCTTGTGCATGTTACATGGTCTCTATTTCCCCTTCTCATTTAGCTTGATAGTATGGCTGGGTATAGAACTCTAATTTGAAAGTAATTTCTCTTAAGCATTTTGAAGGCTTGTCCATTACCTTTTTGCTTCTGAAAGTTACTGTTGAAAATTCTGATGCCAATTTGATGCTCCATATTTTTTGTGAAACTTGTTAATACTTCCTCTCTAGAAACTTCTAGAAAAGCTTCTAGAAACTTCTTTTGGTTCCCAATGATCTGAGATTGATATTTGGTGTGATTTTTGGTATGATTCTCCTTGCTTTCATTTGCTAGACACTCAGTGAGCTATTCAATCTAGAAAATCATGTCTTTTAGTTTTAGGTAATCTATGAGAATTATTTAGTTTATAATATCTTCCTGTTCTTTCTATTTTCTGATTCTCAAAAAAAACTTATATGGTCAGTTGCAGAAATAGCCTCTTCCTCACATCCTTGTCCTTTGCCATGTAACTTTGTGGTTCTTCCTTCTCTGATTCTGGGTTGAGACATATGGGCTTCTTTGGGCCAGTGAGTTGAGGGTGATCATGATACAGGCAAAGGACTGAAAGCCACATGTGTGAGTGAGCTTGCTTGCTTTTGCTTGCTACCATCACCATGAGAAAAACATTCCCAGGTTAACCAGTGGTTCCAGGAGGAAGATGAGAGACATATGAAGCAGAGCCAGCCCCCAGCCAACATCAGCAACCACTCCAGATATGTGAGCAATAATTGCTTATTCTTGTGTGCTACTGAGGTATTGTAATTGTTTATTATTTAGCATTGTTGTGGTAATAACAGATATATCTGATTATTTAGATGCTGAAACTCTTAGTATAACCCTTTAGTTTTCTTTTTACTGTTCTTTCTGGGAGATTCTCTCAACAGTATCTTGCATCTTTTCTACTGAGTTTTTTGTTTCTGCTGTCATGCTTATAATTTCTAAGAACTCTTTGGTTCTCTGCATGCTATTGCTTTGTTGTATCCTATTCTACTTTCATGAAAGCATTATTTCTTATTACATTAACTATTATTCTTTCAAGTTTTGCTCACCTTGCATTATCTCTTTATTCCAGGTTGCTTTTTTATTCTGTTTATTTTGCCTTCTATCTTTGCAGAGATTTCCTCTAATGTCTCATAATTTTTGCTTGTCCACTCATACTCACTAAAAAGCTGTTTGGAAGCTTTGTATGTGTGTTGTTCACAAAAAAGCAGTTGTTTTGTAGAACTTCTGACCCTTTAGAGCTAGAGAGATGACCCAGGGAAGCCTCCTCCATTCTACAGCTTTAGGACATCTGCCAGGCTACCAGCATTCTGGGAATCTGAAGGGGGAAGAAGGCAAGGGGTCCCAACATTCAGGGTGTCAGCGGTCACTAAATTCCTCTGTTTTTGGTCTAGTAGCCCTCTTCTCAGCTGTGCCTGGTGTCCCTAAACCAGAGTCCCTCTGCCAAACTCTTTACAGAAGAGACTTTCTGTCTTCTGTCAGCAAGGAGAGTGTGGTCACCTGGCCTCAGGGAGTTGGAGAGGGGATCTGTGCATCTCAAAGTGGGTTATAAGGGCTTTCAGCCAGCCCTTTACAGCTCCTGTCTTATCACTCTTTTAATTGTTGCCAGTAGGTTGGGCAAAAAGGCTATCTAACTGCGATGTTGATGTGCATTTCTTCGAATAGTGAGGCTGAGCCTTTCTCTTGTGTCATGGCCATTGTGTGAACTGTTTGCTGGCTGTGTGGTGTTTTATTCTCTCTTCTGAAGGGAGTCCTCGGACCTCAGTTCAATCCCACTTTTACTCCCTGGGTATCATGGGTCCCGGGGTCTAGAGGTCTGCAGGCTGCGTCGTGGTGGGAAGAGGCACAGAGCTGGTGAGGGGGTGATCCAGAGAGCAGGGTGTGCCCTCCCCAGGTTCTCCCCTCTCCCCCACAAAAGTACTTAATTGGAAATGGGCCCAGCCTTTTCCCCACCTCAGCACAGGCCTGCCGCTGGCAGCTCCTGGGGACAGAGTGGCCCTGTAGGCTGCTTGACTTAAGGGGCAGCTCTGTGTAGGGCCCCATTAGCAGTCAAGTCCTGCGTGATGATTCTAGCACCAGCCTGAGGTTTGGCATTCACCAGGGTTTACATTCCACAAAGATGGTTACCTTTTCTTTTCTTTTTCAACCTTAAAAAAATTGTGAAATATAACACATATAGAAAATGTTCAGTTTAACAAATTATTATAAAGCAAACACCCGTGTAACCACCTCCCTGGGAGACAGTTGACTTTTAACAACACCGTGGCAACAGGAGCTGGCAGCTTGCCGCTTGACTGTTGGGCTGTCCGTTCCCCTCCAGCCCACCCTGAGTCTTGGGGCCCAGGTGGGGCGGCCCCTGGTCGCTGGAGGTCCACTCAAGGTGTGGCGGCTCTGGGGCAGGGCCCTGAAGTCTAGATGGGGGGTTGAGTGTGAGCCTTATTTTCTCTCAGCCCCCTTCACTGACCTGTGTCCTGACAGATTCAGGGATCACTCAGAACTCAAGAATTTGTGTGGAACCCAGGGAGCAGGGGGAGCCCAGAGACCCAGGGTGCGAAGCCCAAAGCAGGCCTGATGGCTAGGTCTGGCTGGCTTGGGGTTGGGGGCTGACCATGAAGCACTCACCCTCCACAGAGGGGCCTGGCCTTCCTGCCTAGCCTGATGGGGGGCAAGGCCATGTGTGTGGGAGGGCTTGGAAGGGACTGCCCTCCTTGTGGGAGATATTCCTCATGGATGAAGGTTGGTACCGCGAGCTCGGTCCTCTGGGGTAGGCCAGCTGAAGAACATTCCTGTCCCTGGGCACTGCCCTCCCTTTTGCTGCTGCAGCCCTGTGGTTCTTCTCCAGATGGGATGTCTTCCCCTGACAGCCAGCTCCTAGGTGGAACACCCGTGTCCATTAAAGTGCAGCCCCTATACACAGGAGATGGGCCTCGGCCGCTTGCCTGCCTCCACTTCCTTCCTTTACTGGTTCAGCCCATGTGGAGCTCCCCACCATCTTCCAGGCACTGGGTGGCAGCAAGGGGCAGGACAGACTCAGTCCATGCCCTCGTGGTGATAGTTTAGTGTTGCACTGTCCAATAGACTTCTCTGTGATGACAGGGCATCTGGCGGGGGGTACAGGGAGGAGATGGAGGAGACAAGGAAATGGGCACCTCAGGGCCATGGGAACACACAGGGCTTGCATTGGAGCAGTGCTGGCTTGGCAAGGCTTCCTGCACAAACCAGTTCTGAAGGATGCAGATGGCAGGTCAGGCGTAGGGCCCAGGAAGTGTGATCAAGGTAGGCGGAATGGTACATGCCTAGGTCTGGTGAGGAGGGGAAGTGTGCACTTATGGAATGGCAGGAAGAGAGCATGAGGGAGGGGCCATGAGAAGGGTGGGCACTGGGAGAGGTTGGGGGAGGGTGGGGAACTGGTGAGTTGCACGGAGTTGCACCTGGAAGGACATTTAGGCAGATCTGCGTTTTAAGGTCGCCCTGGTCGCTGCAGGGCAGGAGAAGGGTCTGGAAGACAGGACCAGTTAGGGAGCTGCTGCTGTGGTCGACCTGGTGAGAGGCAGAGGCACCAGGGGGAGGGACAGAACTGGAGGCGGAATCGGCAGGACTTGTGGATGGAGTGGATGCTGAGGGGGAGGGAGAAGAAGCGGATGTGAGGGACCTGGTGCTCCTTGCTGGGGAAACGGGGTGAGGAGGAGCCACCCGTGGAGCTCTCGATGCTGGCGGAGGAGCAGGTGTGAAGGAGAGAGGAGTTCTGTTGGGGTGAGCTGTGTCGGAGGCTCCTGGGGGCCACCTGGTGGGCCTTCGGATGGGGGAGTCTGGGGCTAGTGGAGTGGTCTGGGCAGGGGACACTGGCCTGGGGTCACCCTTGTGGGCCTGCCCGTCTCTGCCCCTAGGCTGTCACTCTCAAGATGCCCCAGACTAGCCCAACCTGGGGAAAGGCTGGTCCTGACCGGGGTGCGGCCATAGCTCACGGATGTCTACTTGGGATGTGTCTGTGTGCTTCTGTGTAGTGGGGGCTTTTACATACACATTAGGAAGAAGGGGGCTGGGGTAGAGGAGGGGGGAGCACGCAGTTTCAAAGTAGAACTTGTCCCAGGAAGGTGAATTTTGCTGTGTGGGGTTAAGCTCACCTGGGCTGATCCTGGAGCTGGGTGTTGGCTGATAGAAGAAGAGATGTGTCATTCCCTATGCTCTGCCTCCTGACTGGTCATGGGATAGACTCATTTTCTTGGGGATTTCGCTCTGACCACCAGCCTGTGGGTTGCCTAATTATTTGTGGCCTTGGGGGACCAGCACCTTGGAGTACAAACTGAAATTCAGTACATGCCAAATCCAGTTTAAGCTATTTAGGTACAATTTAAGCTATTTGGGCCTTCTAGGGTGTCTGCCAACTTAGCGGTCCCCTCTTGGCCCCCACCAGTCCCTCTTCCTTGCCATTCTGTGGGCAGTCTGGCCATGGCTTCTGCTTTTGGTTGGGAATCCATGCATTTTGTATTCAGAGGTACAGAAACTGGCCATGTGATACTGGGATAACATGTTCTGCTGAGCCTCTTGGATGGGGATCGGGACTAAGATCTTAGACTCATCTTGTCCTGATCTTCAATGGTGACAACTGGGAGAGTCCACGTTGATGGTGAGGACCCAGCCCACAGGGGGCACCATAGAGTGGCGCATAATCTTGGTCTGTGGCCTTCTGCAACCAGCCACGGCTCCTGACTTGGCAAGGTAGCTAGTGGGGCCAGATGCACGGGCATGGCTGTTCCAGGAAGTCCAGCCCTAGGGTCAAGTTTGCTTAGGACACTTGTGGTTTCCTCTGTAGGCATCCATCACCCAGGTCTATAGATTCTGCCTCTATATGTTCTCTGCAGTGTGTCCACTTCTGTCCCCTGATCCACCGCCAGCTACTCTAGTTCAAGCCTTCACCATTTCACAAATCTCCCTACCTTCTCTGATCCGGCCGACCCTCCCTGGCAGCTGGACCTGATCCTGTGACTCTTATCTTTGACTTTTACCCAGAGTGTTCCCATCCCTCCATCTCACTCTTCTCTGCATGGCCAATTTCTGGTCATTCAATGCCTGGCATATAGTGTGTATTCATATGTTTCTTGAGTGAATAAATATAAATTAATGTGAATTGAATCCTTTTGATCTTGACTGTTTATCATTTCATAAGGAAGTCTCTTACTCCCGTCCTTATTTTATAGTGCACCCATGCTTCATGTTAATAAGTGCAGATATGTGTTCATTCGGCCAGACTCTGTATCCTGGAGTTGTGGGGGACCACTATCTGTCACATGCTGCATGTTGGCAAATATTGTTGAATTAAATTGAGTGACATTATCTTTTCAAACTGAGAAAAGTCAGGGAATCTCCATTAGAGATCAGATGCTTTTCCTGATATTTGGATTTTTCTGATGGTGAAATTTTGTGTTCTGATTTTCAGCCCCTGGTTTCTTTTTTTTTTTTTCCCCTGTTTATTTTTATTAGTTGGAGGATAATTACTTTACAATATTGTAGTAATTTTTGCCATACATGGACATGAATCAGCCATGGATTTACATGTGTTCCCCATCCTGATCCCCCGTCCCACCTCCCTCTCCATCCCATCCCTCTGGGTCTTCCCAGTGCACCAGCCCTGAGCACTTGTCTCATGCATCCATCCTGGGTTGGCGATCTGTTTCACGCTTGATAATATACATGTTTCAATGCTATTCTCTCAGATGATCCCACTCTCGCCTTCTCCCACAGAGTCCACAAGTCTGTTCTATACATCTGTGTCTCTTTTTCTGTTTTGCATATGGGGTTATCGTTACCATCTTTTAAAATTCCATATATATGCATTAGTATACTGTATTGGTGTTTTTCTTTCTGGCTTACTTCACTCTGTATAATGGGCTCCAGTTTCATCCATCTCATTAGAACTGATTCAAATGTATTCTTTTTAATGGCTGAGTAATATTCCACTGTGTATATGTATAGCTCTCTTATCCATTCGTCTGCTGGTGCAGCCCCTGGTTTCATGGAGAAGGTGGCTTGTGAACCTAGAGAATGGGAAGATCTGATCCTGAGAAGATAGAGTAGAGAAGGTCATTTCAGGCTGAGAGAAAGTTTTGAGCTAATGTAAGAGGTGAGATGTTTTCTTCTTCAATTCAACCCATAGGTCATTGTCCCAGTATCCAGTTTGGTGGCTCTGAAGTGTCAGTCGTCTGACTTTGAACTTCTCTCCTGGGCTTAGGCCCCTCTGAACCTGACCTGGCCTTGCTCCCCATCTTCGTTTTCTGCTGCTGGCCTCCGACTTTGCCTGGACTGCTGCTCTTGCCGACGATGATGTTTCTCAGGGCAGGTGTCTTGAAAGCCTGAGCCTTTCCATCTTCCATTGGAATTGTGATTTTTTTAGCACCTATACATTTTACATCTTTCCTAATGTCCCTCAGCTGCATGTATGTTGCAATTCAAGCAGCTTCATGCTTCATCCATCCCCACAGTGTCCTTTAGTTGTTTGTTTATTTGCGAGTCTACTATATCCTTGTTGCTGCCAGGGTCTGCAGAGGAGTCAAGCGCCTAAGACATAATCTCTGTTCACATGAGGTTCTGGTCTACCTGCAGAGTGGAGATAAGGGAGGAAGGCTACTCAAGGTCTTGTGCACGTCAGAAAGGGATCTGTCAACCATGGCCTCTAGCTGGGAGAATCAGGCAGGGCTTCACAGAAGAGGGAACCTACGGGTTGAGTCATGGCATATGAGGAAGGGATTTAGTCCTGCAAAGCTGAGGTAGAGAAGACTTCCAGGTGGGACCATCTTGAGGAAATTTAGAGAGACAGGAGGGAAACTTCCCTGCTGGTGCAGTGGTTCAGACTTTGCTTTCTAATGCAGGGGTGGGGTGTGGGCTTGACTCCTGGTTGGGGAGCTAAGATCCCACATGCCTTGCAGCCAGGAAAAAAGACAAAAAAACCCCCACATAAAACAGAAGCAACATTGTAACAAATTCAGTAAAGACTTTAAAAATGGTCTGCATAAAAAGAACTATAAGAAAGGAAGACAGGAGAGTAGGGGTTTGTAGAGGGAGTGGGGTGTTAAGCTGGTGCATGGAAATGAGATAGGAGACTGTGTCTGGAAAAGTGGGCAGTGTCTGTGTTTTATGACGATGGATATGGGGATGGAGAATGCTTGCTGGTGTCGAGCAGTGAGGTGCATTGCTAATTTTGAAAAGTCAGCATAAAAAATTAAAAAGGTGATCAGGTACCATAATGAAGATGGTTTGGGGTAGAGAAAAGTGACTCTGGGGGGCCAGGGATGTTGAGAGTGGCACTAGGGGCCCCCAGCACCTGGTGACCCCTGCCTGGGTCTCAGGAATCACAGTGGAATGAGCTTGTGGGAGCTTCAGTGACTCCTAGTGACTTCAAAGGAGCCAGCAGAAGGTTGCAGACCATGGGGTCTCCCAAGAAGAGGGGAGGATGTCACCCCATCTTCCCAGGCTGGGATTAGGCTTTCCTGTTTTACTTCAGACACTTTTGTATCATTTGAAAATTTTACAGAAATACATGCTACCAATTAAAATGATAAACACTTTGTTCTAACTGAAAACAAGGAAGAAAACAGGATGCTTGAGGTAATGTGAGTGGTGATGGGACCCAGGGAGCTGACCTCTAGGAAATGGTTTTGAACTGTAGTGGGTCCGGGGTATCTGGTTGCAGGGTGAGATGAGGTGTCTTTAGAAAACCACGGCATCCAGTTAATGCCTGGTTAGAAAAGGGATGTCAGATTTATGATACAAGACAAACTGTCATCACGGATTAAAACACTTCTGTGATCCAAGAGTAACAGTCATTGCTTGGAACATTTGCTAATCTTTTAAAAATTTTACCAATGTGAAACAGATCAACTGCCTGAGACTGGCTTCTTAAAGGTTAGGTTATTCATTCGTGTAGTCACTTAACTGATATTTAATTGATTCATTGAACTGGTCCACTGATAGTAACTCCTGTAGAACCAGAAGGCAAGGTAAAGAAAGTGGGTCCTCAAGAAGGTAGAGCTACAAAGTTTCACTTTTTATCCCCATGTGGATTAAGATGTTGTAGTTTCTGGGAGTATGAGAAACATCTTAAAGTGCAGCTTGATTTTTATGTTTATTATTGTCAGATTAATGCAAAAGACATTAAAAAATGCCATTTACAAAGAAAAAGTTACATTCATGTGACATTATACGGGAGCCCCCTCATTTTATGAGGACTGCATGTTTTGGGCTCACATATATAGAGGAGGAAGGGGCAGGAGGTGGGGAGATATGAAGGGGAAGGCCAGGGGTGAAACCAGCAGGTCCTGTCCTAGGACACTGATGCCATCGTAAAATCCTGGGTGCTGGTGAAGCATGCAGATTGGAGGCCCACCCCCCAGAGATTTGCATCCGGAAGCCTGGCCTGGAGCCTGGCAGCCTACAGGTTTAGACAGTTGTCTACCCAGAAGATCCTGAGGAGGACCTGTGACCCTGAGAGAAGGCAGCCCCTGTCTTGTAGTTTCCAAAGATGCCTACTGGGATGCAGGTCCCCTCTGTTTTAGGGCCACACTGTGCCCATCCACTTGGGTGGAGGGAGATTTCCGACCTGACCATCCAATCCCACAGTCATTCCTTCAGTTTTATGAGTTCTAGGTATCAAATCCCAGAGCCCTGGGATTCAAAGGCAGGCTTGTGAGGCCCAGGTAGCAGGCTTTGGGCATGGAATGGGCTCTGCAGGGCACAGTGGCTCCTGGAGGGGCAGGCTTTGAAGGGTTGGGAAGATTCTTGGAGCCAAGAGGCACTGAGCAGGAGCAGTGAGACTCTTCTGAGGTCCAGACGGGTGGCAGAGGCCTCAGGACTCTGTGGAGGGCTGTGCTTTACTTACTTATCACCCTTCATCAAGGCCCTTTAGTCTGGACCTTAACCAAAGGGCATGTTGGAAGGTTATGATACCTGTAACAGAATCTGTGCTGAAAGTGAGTGTTAGAGGGGGTGAAGAAATCGTTGTATTGGTCACCTCAGTTTACAGATGGGTAAACCAAGGCTTTGAGAGGAGATATGACCCATGGGGAGCTAAAAGGAAGACGGGCTATGAAATCAGACAGAAATGGATCCTCTCCACCTCTGCCATCTCAGCTGGATGACCTTGAACAGACTGTGTGACCTCTCTCTGATCCTCTGTAAGATGGGGATGATAATACTCGCACCTTAGGCTTTGCTATCAGGATTCAGCATGAGTGTTTTCAGAGTCTGGCACTGTTGTTGGTGCCCAGAGCTTGAGTCAGTGGTGGTTAGGCTGGGACTGGCTGCCTGACCGCCTCATCCAGTGTTCTGGTCTGGGGCTCCCTGCTGCTGGGGCCCCTCGATGCTCTTAGTCTGGTCAGGCCTGTGCTCCAGCGATGATGGTTGGGATTGGGATGTGGGGCACTGAGCAGGCTCTGTTTGTTAACTTTGTGTATTGCTTAATAAGGAAAACACGGCTTGTCCTGGCAATCAGTAGATCTGGCCATATATGGGGAAAAGGAGTAACTTGGATGTGGTCAAGGATGCAATTCTGAGTAATTCAGATTTAAAACAAAATCAAAGACAATATGGAGTTGCTACTTTTCTTTGTCCAGTGTGGTTATGGAGTGATTTCTGGTTATAAATAGGTAACATCTTGCAGGGGAAACTTTAGAAATAGCTGTGAACTGTTTGGGGGAACAAATCCTTTCTATACTCAAAAGACCCTGGCATAGAGACAGAATCCCCCTGCATGGAAAGAAAGCGTTGTTTTTCAGGTATGCAGAGAAGACTGAGGCCTTCTCTGGCCCAGCCATCTCCAGGGTAAATTCTAAATCTGGGGCCCTCCTGGCCTCTCTGCACTGGGGCACCCACTGTCTTTCTTATAGCCATCTGCTTCACGGTGTCTTCATCAGCTCCATTCCTTAGCCATCACTCATTCATTCGTTCATTTGGCTCGCTAGACACATCCTGAGCACTCACCCTGTGAGGCCCTGCTCCTGACTTCTTCCCCATCCTTCTTGCTCCTGCTGGTGGCCTTGCTCCTCTGGCTGCTCTTGGTTCGAGGCTAGTTCCTGGGGCTCTGTCCTTGGTCCTTTCCTTCACCCCCTCTGTACACTCTCCCATCTCCTCTTGGCCTGATTTCCACAGCACAGCAGTTTAGAGGGGGCCAATCTGCTTGGGTCCAGTCTTGCCAGATTGGCCCTACAATTTCCAAGCTGTGTGACTTTTAGTAAGTTGCTCAACTTCTCTGTTCGTTTCCTCACGTGTAAACGGGAGATGATTATAGTGCTTACTTCTTGGGTAGTTAAGAGGACTAGTTGAGTTAATCCCTAGAAAACTTCTAAAACAAGGCCCAACAGCAGGTCAGCACTCAGAAACCTAGGCCCTGCCATTGTTTGCTGATGACGCCCAGTTCTCTCACTGAATGCTTTCTTTGCCCCGACGGCCATTCTTGACAGGAACAAGGCAGGCGGAACTCCTACTGTATGCCATTGCATGCTTGGCACTCAGTCAGGGCATGTGGCATTGAGGACACAGTCCAGGACACGACAAACATTTCAGTGTGTGTCCTGCCTGAGAGCTAGCGCTCCCCCACCCCCCACTCCAGCTGATGGTCTTTGTCCATAAACCATTTCCAAGGACAGTACCCTTGTGGGGATTAATTAGGCCGAGGGTGTGAGAAAGAGACAAGAAAGGCCCAGGTTTCCAGCCCGGGTAGAGGATGCTGCCATCCATTCTGCCTCTAAAGTATTTCTTGATTCTTTATCTCCTCTCCATGGCCGTGGTCCCGGCCTGGGTCTGGCCTCACAGTGTCTCTTCGACCCCTGTGATCTCTCTGTATTAAAGCCTTTTCCGCTTCCTCTCATTCATCCTCTGACCTCCCCTGGCCAAAGTCAGGCCAGGCCTGGGGGAGGCTCTTCAGAGGTGGCCCATCCGCAGTGCACCTGCAGCCTCCTCCCCCTCTGTCCGGGGGAGTCCTGTGACCACTTCCCTTTGTTTGCTGAGAGCCGGGCACCCCCTGGTCCTGGCATGCCTGGTGCCACCTCCTGGGGAGGGAAGATGCACAAGCTCCGCGGGCGCGTGGGGCTGAGTGACCCATCACGTCCCAGCCCTGGCTTTCACCCAGCAAAGAAAATTTACTAAACGATTATCTCCTTGAGTTCTCGGGGGCTCCCCAGGTCTGTCCCTGCTCCCTCTCACACACTCTGTCGTCACCACTCCTGTTCTGGTCAGAACAGACTCAGCCACCTCTTGGCCAGGGGCCTCTTCTTGGGCTTGTCCTGTGGGTGCCTCGTCCTTGGATTCCAAGGCTGACTTTGCCTGTTTCCTTGATGGGACCTTCAGAGCTGTCTGAACCATCTGCAGGTGCCGCTGTGGCCTCCAGCTGACCGACATGAGCCCCCGCCCCTCTGACTTACTTTGGGGAGTCCCCTCTCCTCATCTGGCCACTGTGTGCTTCTGGAGGGCAGGACACTCCCTCCTCCTCATCTCCTCGCAGAGAGGAGCAAGCCCAGAGCTGACACTCAGTAGGTCTTGGGCCACTGAGCCTTCCTGCCCATGCTGCTGGCTCCCTGGGTGGGCACGTGTGTTTTCTGCCGGCGGTTCCATTTTAACCTTTGTTTGAACAGAGATTTCTGTGTTAAGACTTTCTTCAGAGAAGACCTGAGAACCTCTGGGCCAGTCTGTCTGATCTCTCAAACTTCCTTGTGAGATTCTCCTGTGCCCTGGGTACTTCTTGTGCTGCCTTTTCCCTGACCGGCGTGTGGCCCTCGGTTTTGATGCCTGGTGACCCATGTCCTTGAGCACACCAAGGGTGGATTCTGAGCCAAAGCCTGGAGCCAGGCAGCCGTAGATCTCAGGTGTGGTCAGTCTAACAGGTAGACCTTGTGTGTGCTGGGGCCAGAATTTGGTCCTGGGCTGAAAACTCTGCCCAAGGGTTGGCCTGGCTCCTGAGCTACTGTGTCTCCACGCAGATGCTGGGCCCTCAGTGCCCATCTGTTAACATGGGGGTGTGGCTTCTTCCCTGAGATGCTGGCTTCTCCACCCTGGGGAGGAGAGGTGGCCAGGGTTCGAGTCACAAGCCCCCTACCCTCCATCCTAGAGCATGGAGGTCATCCCTTCTGGGTTTATGGAACCTCTTCTCTGAATTGGTCCCCAGGACCCTATCCCCACCACCTCGTCCCTCACAAAGCAGGCAAAGTGGAGTTATTCCATTGTTTTCCAAGGGTCCTGCTCAACCATGCCCTCCCCTCCCAAACTGTATCTTTCTGCTACTTTTGTGACATTTGATCAAGCAGCCTGGAACTTCCCAGCTCTCTGGCTGGTTTACATGGGTACAGAGTATTCTATGGTTATCATAACTTAGTGAATTTTTCCTTCACATATGTTTGGGTTGTTGTTTCCAATTTTTCTTTATCATAAACAAATTCAGGGAACATCTTTGGAGGAATATGTTTTTGTAGGGCCAATGAGTATGTACATTTATCATGTTGGTACATAATGTCAAATTGTTCCCCTCAAAGGACACTCACACTGCATGAGAATGTGTTTCCCTACACCCCAGTCAACATGGGTTTTGGTTCTGTTTTTATTTTTTGCATTTATGGAAGCAAAAAAAAATTATACACTGTGCCTATTTGCCTTTGATTAGCGGCTGTTTTGTATTTCTTTTTTAAAAAATTTAACTAGTTGATTTACAATATTGTGTTAATTTCAAGTGCACAGCTTCAGATTCTTTTCCATTATAGGTTATTACGAAATACTAAATGTAGTTCTCTGTTTATACAGTAGGACCTTGCTGGTTATCTATTTTATATATAGTAGTGTGTATCTAGTAATCTCTTACTCCTAGTTTATCCATCTTTTTCCACTTTCCCCTTTGGTAGCCATAAATTTGTTTTCTATGTCTGTGACTATGTTTCTGTTTTGCAAGTAAGTTGATTTGTATTTTTAGATTCTACGTGTAAGTGGTATCATATAATATTTGTCCGTTTACTTCATTTAGCATGACAGTCTCCAGATCCATCCATGTTGCTGCAAGTGGTAATATTTCTTCTTCTTCTTTTTTAATGGCTTCTTTTAGGATTGCTTGTTCATATGCTTTGCTCATTTTTCTACTGGAGGCTCACTTTGAGGAACTGAATGGTGAGAGCCCTTTGAGTGTTTGAAGTGCAGCAACTGGTACTCAGTAGACCAGTTTGTACAAGTTTGTGGTCAAGTAACTTTGTTGTGTCTTGAAAAGATTTTATTTAACCATATAATTTTTTTAAAATTAGAAGTTTTAGGTTTCTGTCTGGTTGAACTTTTCTCTTTTACATCTTTTAACTTTTCAAATAACATGCTTAGAAAGCATCCCTCTCCCATGCCAGATTATTTGCCCATCTTTTCTCCTAGAACTTACAAAGTTTTATTATTTATGCCAGAATCTCTGTTCCATCTATAGTAGAATTTATTATAGTTTAGGGAAAAAGGTTTGGATTTAACTATTCCTCCCCTTTCACCAACAAAAATTAGTCATCAGTTGTCCTGACACTATTTATTGAATGATCCACTTCAGTTCCTCTAAGTGGAGATGCTACCTGCATCATATTCTGAATTTCCATATATGTGCTTGTGTCTGTTTTATGGATTTTTCTCCTGTCTCCTTGGTCTGCTCACATTCATGGGTTTTTAAAAATTTTTAATTTTTTGAAGTGTTTATGTATTTGGCTACATCCGGCTCCAGCTCTGGCACATGGACCTTTGTTGCGTTGTGCCAGATCTCCCGTTGTGTTGTGCAGGCTCTGCAGTTGCTGTGTGTTGGCTCAGTAGTTGTGGCCGATGGGTTTAGTTGCTCTGCAGCATGAGGCGTTCTAGTTCACCAACCAGGGATCGAACCCACATCCTCTGCACTGCAGGCCAGATTCTTAACCACTGGACCACCAGGGAAGCCCCTGTATATCTGGTTTGGAAAGCACTTTTGTTAATAACTACCAATCACTGAGTTCCTCCTGTGTTTCAGGTACTTGACATACTTGATCTCAAATCTTTCCCAACATCCTACGGGGTGTAGGTAACGATGGTCCTAGTGTAGCCAAGGCTTGTAGGGTAGATGAGTCACACAAGGTCAAAAATGTAGTAAGTGGATTAGCTAGGAATCAGACCCAGGAATACTTGCCTCTAAGTCTGGGACTTCCCACCACCCTGTCTTGCTCTGGTGACCCCACTCCGCACCGTCTGGGGCATGTGGGAGAGGCAGCTTAGAGAATATCAGCTGGAAGGTGACTGCTCTCGCTTCACATTGTTGAAAGCGGAGGCTTTGTAGAGTGGAAGCTCTCTTCAGACCCAGCCCTGGCTAGAAAGAGCCGAGTCTGGGACTCTCAGCTCACTGACTCTGTATCCCCAAACCAGCATCATGAGAGAGCTGACCTGTTGACCCGGTCATGGGATTATCCATGCCCGGTCTCCAAGCTGTTACAAAGATCCCACTGCAGACATAGCTGGTGGCAGTCTCCCTTGTAGAAGAAAGTGGGTCAGGTGGTGCCCAGGGGAGCCCTTGTGCATTGCTGAACTGATGGGAATGACACGACTCCTTTGCATCTTGGAGCTGTAGGCTACACGGTTCCTAAGAAATTACATGGTCCAGCCCTGCCAGGTTTAGATCAAGAAGCTGATGCCCAGAGAAGGGACAGAACTTGCCTGGAGTCCCCCTGCTGTGGGGATCTTGGGCATATTCCCAAACCCACACCCTGCGATGAAGTCTGTTGAGTAAGAACTCCAACTGGAACTGGGCTCTCAGGAACAGTGGTAGGAAGGTGTCAAGTGAAACCCCAGCCTGGTCTCCTGGACTCTGAGATGGCCCTAGGATGGGTCTTGCTAAACCCATCCTACAATGGGTTGGATGGTGTGTGGCCTTCTCTAAGCCTATGATCTTCATGGCTGACACCAGGAGGATTGTGCAAGAATATGATAAGCATCACTGTTGAGATTGGCACCTCTTGGTAGTGCTTTCCGTGCCCGAAGTATTGCCTGCTGGCTGCTTCCCGTGGGAGAAGTGGTTCAGCTTCAGATTTGCATAATCATCTTGGCCAGAGATGCAGTGTATGCATGGGCGCACACACACACACACACACACACACACACACACACACGTACATACATATACATACATGCTAGTCTTTGGAGTGGTTGTGTCCCCACAGTGCTGTCAGGGCCAAACCCCAGAGTCTCTTGTCCAGAGTGTGGGTTCCGATTTTCCACTGGAGTCCTGTGCAGTTCTCTCATTAGTGCTTTTGCCATTGCCCCTCTGCCCTGCTGTACTCATCTCCTTTTCTCCATGTATCAAAACTCTGGCTGAGCTGTAAAGCTTAGCTCAAATCTTTCTCTGGCTCTTTTTTTTTTTTTTATTCTAAAGATTTTTTTGATGTGGACCATTTAAAAAAATCTTTATTGAATTTGTTACAATATTGCTTCTGTTATGTTGGTTTTTTGACCATAAGGCATATGGGATCTTAGTTCCCCAGCCGGGGATCAAACCTGCACCCCTTGCATTGGAAGGCGAAGTCTTAACTGCTGAACCACCAGGGAGATCCCTCCCTGACTCTTCTGTACAGTCTTCTCTTCCCCAGCCTCATGCAGACCCCAGCTCTCTCCCTCTTCCGAATGTTGATAATGTTCTTCTCTGTCATCCACATGGGACTGGAGCTTGTACTGCCCAGGGACACCTGTTCTATAGAACTCTCCCTAACAGTGTGTGTGGCTCTGTTTGCATGAGATGAAATCTTGCTGATCCGCTGAGGCAGTGATCTTGTATTTCACCACGTGTGTACTCTCATTAGTGTGTGGCACACAGTAGGCCCTCAGGAAATATTGCTTGCCTGGTGGGTTGGAATGAGCCAATACATAAACACAAATGGAGACGCTTTCAGGCCTCAGTGGGCGTTAGGTGCTTGCCTGCACTTGCTGGCGGCCAGTCGAAGGCGTGAAGTGGGCTTGCTCAGCCCTGTAGGAGGTGCACCAGCGAGAAATGCTGAGGTGTAGGGATTAGGGAGATAATGCAGGGTTAAGATAATGTGGGGTTAAGGGACTGGCAGTGCTTTATTCTCCTGTGAAGTGGGAAAAGGGCATTTGGGCAGCAGGTGACAGGGGAGGGTATGGGAGTGGCGCTTCCAATGAAGCCTCGTCAGGAGACCTTCACTGCCATCCACCTGGAGGTTCCTAGAAGAGGTGGGTGAGGAGTTTGGCATGAGGTGGTGGGATGTAGTTCATTCTCAAACACTCTCTTTGGGCCCAAATAGTCTTCCTAGCCAGTCCTAGGAGCTCTCAGAAGACTGTCCTGGGCATGGGACATGTTTTCCCGTTTTTAGACCCTAAAGGGATGCTGAGTGCTATTGGAGGGCACCTTCTTGAGAGAGAAG